TGAGGGCTGGAACTCCTCTGACAGGCTGGGAATGCTCACCTGGAGAGGAGAAGCTCCAGGCAGAGCTCAGAGCCCCTTGCAGGGCCTGAAGGGACTCCAAGGGAACTGGAGAGGGACTGGGGACAAGGGATGGAGGGACAGCACACAGGGAATGGCTCCCACTGCCAGAGGGCAGGGATGGATGGGAGATTGGGAATAAATTTCTGGCTGTGAGGGTGGTGGGCCCTGGCACAGGGTTCCCAGAGCAGCTGTGGCTGCCCTTGGATCCCTGAAAGTGTCCCAGGTCAGGTTGGACAGGGCTTGGAACACCTTGGGACAATAGAAGTGTCCCTTGTCATAGGACAAGGTGACCTTTAAGGTCCCTTCCACCCTAAACCAGTCAATGCCTTTACGATTTCACATAACCAAATGTCCCCCCATGCTTTTCCTTTGAATGCCAAACAAACCCCACACCACTTTTCAAACTCTGCAGCAGATTTGGGATTGCCACCTCCAGGTCAGCAGGTCCAGGCTGGAGCAGACTCCTGGCAGAGAAGCTTTTCTACTAAGCCTGGATTCTGGGCTGGTTTCTCAATGACATTTTAAGGCAGAGGCAGGTAGGGATGGTGGGTGAAGGAACATTTTGCATAAACCCACACAGCAGTCACAGCGTGGGCAGCTCCTTCAGGGCTCTTCCCAGCAGGAATGTGGATAAATGTGCCAGAGAGAACCCCCTCTGAGGAACAGGGGACAGAGCTCTTATTACAGAGTCACTGACTCAATTATGCCCTGAAAGCAGATTAAAGTGACTCTGCTTTTACTGCAAAGGGGTGAATAAATCCATATTTTGTTAGTGAAAATAGGTTTCCATTTGAATTTACAGAGGACATAAAGCTCAGCTAGCTCCTCTCTGCAGGTAGCTCAGTGTAACCCCTCAGGGCCTCAGTGACAGCATCAGAGGAAGGGACAGTGTGACAAAAACAGCCCTCCTGTGAGTGAGCCAGCACGTCCTTCCTTATCACAGCCAGTGCCTCGCAGTTCCCTGGGGCCTGGGACTGCAATCCCCACGGCATCAAAGGAAATATTAGCTATAAAAATAACAGGAGAAGTTTTTAGCAAACCTTACAAGCTGTCTGGTAGAACAAGTGTGGCAAATGCACACCCACTGTATAAAGGCAAAATCACGTGGCCAGGAAAACCAAATGTAAATAACAAAGGCCAGAGTGAGATCTAAATTCTTCCAGTCTCTGGGAATTTGGATGTCTGTTGGAACTCTGGATCCTGGGAATTTTAGACTTTCTGTGCTGACAGACTCTGACTACCAGTAGAACACTATTTGACCTGAGGCTGTAGAGAAGGCTTCCAAAATTAATTAATAGCACTAAGATTTCAAGTGTGTAGTTGATTAGAAGTGTGTAAGATCACAAGGTAGAAAACTTAGAGTTTGGAGTTTTAGAATATAGTAATATATATAAAACAAAATAGAAGTTTTAAAGCAGAGGCAGGTTGTTGTTCTTTACCTTCTTCTTCCTTTTTCTTCTTCATAGGTTTGGGTAGTATTTTGAAATTAGACAGGGTTATTTTTGGGTCCAAGCAAGTTCCTGCTATCCTAATCCCAGCCCAGGAGAGCAAATATTCATCAGCACCAGCCAGAAATGGGGCTCCTCACAGAAGGCCTGCCCAGGGACAAAAGTGGGGGAGAATTTTCATGGAAAATCATGATGTGCTGTTCATCCTCTTGTGAGCCTGACTCAGAGCCCACCTGTGTCAATGAGGAGATATTTGGCTGGACATGCTGGTTCCTTCTGGAAGAACAGTTTTGCTCCCTTGCCATGCTACCACTGTGCTGCTCTTTTGGCTGGAAAAGAGTCACAAGGAGAAATGTTCTCTTGTGCTCAAAGCTGAGGACTTTTGAAGCTCTGTGTGCCTTGCTGGCCTCACCAGGGTCAGCAGCATCATTCTCTGCCTCCTTGGATGCTCTGGAGCTGTTTCTGTGCTGCTCTGTTTGATTCTTTGAAGCTGAGCTCTCCATTTGAGTTGTTTAAAGAAAAAAAAAACCACCAAATTGATTTAAGCTCCCTTTTTAAAATGAGGCAGCAGAGGGCTTTCTGCCAGCAGCCAGCCAGCCTGGCTCTTTCTGAGGGCACAAACACTTCCAGGGTTTTATTTGTGGCACTGCTGGCACTGTGGGCTTGATCCCAGCAGTGAGGACATGGCTAGAAAGAGGTTGGCATCAATTCCCTGACAGAAGTAAAATGAATAGGGATGTAAAGAAGAGGAGGAGTGAGGTGATTCCCCATGAAGAGCACCTGGATGCCTGGGGATATGTGGAAAATCAGCCTATCCCCCTCTCTCCTTGTGACCTCAATATCCAGGAAGATAATCTAATTTAATCTGATCAAATAATCCAACAGAATCTTCCAGAAGGTCATGACCTGCCTCTCATCAGCATTAGCTGATACAGTGAAGTAAAGGACCTGCTAGAGATTAAGTCATCTAAAAGAATTATTTTTGGCTTTAAAAGCAACATCTCTTCCTCCCCAGCTTCCCAGAAAAAAACAGGGAACACACACAGGTTTGATCCTTACTGCCTGCACAAGGCTGGGACTGGCCTGCAGGTGTCTGGGGATGCTTCCATATGGATTTTTATGGATAGAAACTGGATCTAAGTGGAATGTTTTTCTGGAGTGTGGAGTTAAATATGGCCTATTTTTGATCTTGTCTGAACAAGGCCTGTGCTTGTATGGTCTGCTGGAGCTCCTAAATCAGCACAAAAATACCTTCCCAGACCTTGCTCCTACAAAAGTGACATTTTACATAAACTGTTTTAATATCATTTTCCCCTCCATGTCTTTGGCCACCCTCAGGCAGATTCCTGTGCTGGCCTCAGACAAACAGGTTTCTTGTCATTAAAACACAGCAAAATGGGCTTCAATCAGCAAGAACTAAGAGCAACCTTCAGGCTGGTGCAAAGGGATGGAAAACAAGCAGGTCAGAAGGGACTGACACCTGGACAAAGAAGGATTTGCAAGGCAGGGAGTGGTCGTTTTGATCTGGCTCTCCTTGGCCCATGTTCTTTGCTCTGCACTCTCTGGTTTATTCATGTTTTTCAGCAAAATCTGCAGAGGAAATGCCAACACCTCAATTTTTGGCTGCCCAACATTTCCCACTGCAAGCCTCTGCTTCCAGCCTCTTCTCATCTCCCTGAGCTGAAATCTCATCTGCTGACGTATTCCAGAGCAAATATTCTGGAAGGTTTCTGCCAAAATCAGTTCAGCAGTTGGAGACTGGAGCTGGGGAAAGGAGGAGGTTTGTCTCATGCAATGCTAATTCTCCCCAGGGGTTCTCTGAGGTTGTCTCACTTTTCCTTGATTTTGATTAGAAACTGGAAATTTGGTGGTTTGGCTCTTGCCTTTTCCAAGCTGCTGAACTGTGGATACAGGTGGGATGGTGGAAAAAGTGGGATAAGACCCTTGGATCTGAACAGGAGCTGGAAAATGAAGTTAGTTTTATGCTGAACTCAGCTTTTGCCTCTGGTGGGACAGAAATATTGTTTGTGAGGAGCTGAAACAACCAAGTGATGGGTCAGCCCCTGGGAAAATGAGTAATTCCATATCCAGCACAGGGAAGGAGGTCAGCAGCACACAGGGGAGGGGGCTGAGGAGGAGGTTGCTTTTTAAATACAGGAACAATGAATTCCCTTGGGAGGGGAATTCCTCCTGTTCAGAGTCAGGCAGAGGTCTAAAGGAAAATAAGGACATTCCTTTGCTAATTATTTTTAAGGTGTGATACATGTGCTGTGAGGGGAGAGCCAGAGGATGGCAGGAGATGGGATGGGGTCTGAGAGCTGGAAAAAGAGGGTTTGGAAAGAGAGCAGAGCAGAGGGACAGCTACTGGCACTGGGTCAGCTCTCAACTGCTCCTCCCTAAAGTGCCAAACATGGAATTAGAAAAGAAGATTTGAGGAGTTCAAGGTGTTAGAAAAAAGAGCAGAAGGGTTCATGCAGGAGAAGCAATGAGAGCTGCTCAGCTCAGCTCAGCCACCAGTCCTGGTTACAATGACAGGACAGGAGCCTTGACACTTCTCCCCACATGCATGTCCCAGTCCCAAACCAAATCCTACCTGGATGCCCCCAGAGACGTCCCCAGCCCCAAAAGGCAAAGCAGAAGGGGAAGTGGAAGCCAGGGATGCAAGATGGCCTTGCAGAACGAGGGATGAACCCTCAGGGGAGCAGAACTTCTTTTACACAGCATTTGATACAGAAAAAGAGATTAAAAACTACTTTGGAGCAGAGCACTGAAGAGTTAAAGTTAATGAATGAGACAATATTAATTGTCTGAAACCCAATTGCTTGACTTCTGGTTTACAAAGATCTCTCCCTACTTTAGTTCCCATGGTAACTCTTGTGCAGAACCACACTTTTCCTCATCATCTCCAGAGTTTAAAGCAATTTTGTAATCCAATCAAATGGGAAAGAGAGAATTTCTTTGGGCATTGAGGAAACTGCTGCACACAGTAATGGGGAGAGGCCACACTCACAATTATGACCCCAGAGAGACACTTAATTACTGAATAATTAGCAGTTACTGGGGTTTCTTAGCTCAGAGAGGATTGTGAGAATAATTCTGAGGCCTTCCATGTGGTTTTCCAAAGTGGGAAGCAGCAAACTGATTGTGGGAACCTCTCTGCTCCCAAAAACCTGAACCCTTGAACACTGTGGGCCCTGTGAGGCTTGGCTGAGGCAGCTCCAGTGCTGTGGAGCAGAAGGAATGGGCCAGTTGGATGGGAATGTGCTTTTCAGGGAGCAGGAGGAGGGGATTCTGTTAATCCTTCCCACATGGACAGTGGGGAATGTTCACGTGCACCAAGCCCAGTGTGGTTCCTGAGAAGTCACTGGCACCTCTGGGGGTTTCAGTCCAGGATAAATTATTTCCTGTGAAATACAGGATTTTTTCTGTAGGAAAAAAAAGCATTCATGTATGAATAGAGTTCCTAGAGTGAAATCCTGAGCCACAGAGCAATAATTATGTCTTCACTTTTATTTTTTTAATGCTGATGCCCAGAAAACTGCTCTGAGTGGAATTCTAGATGCCAACTTTCCCAAAAGGATGAAGCCAGGAAACAGTTCACTCTAATAGACAACTCATGAAATTCACACACATTTGGTATTTTTGTAACCCAAACCTTGCTCAAATTGTGGTTGTGTGTTGGTGTGACCACAAAATCCCCTTCACCTTAGCAAAACCACCTAGAAAAAATTAGCCAGGATCAGTTCTGCTTCCTGCAGCACTACAAAATGCAGCTCCAAGCCTGGCTGGGACTTTTTGGGACAGTCTGGTTTCACCTTGGGCTTTAGGACAATGACTTCATGTCTCCTGCCTCACATGATCACACTCAGGAAAGCTCTCTGCATAATCTCTTGGCATTTCAGAAATGCAGGAGCTGTAAATGAGGTCAGGGCTCTCATGCTGTACCTGATCCAGGGACTGCAGAGCTTGGAATCATCACCTGGCCAAGCCTCTGCTCTCTTCAAGTGGTCCTTCAAAAGGTCAGCCCCATGTGGGCAAGTGCTGGGCTCCTGCAGCTCGTTCATCTGGTTTGGTGTTCAGCTCATCCTCAGGACATGTAAAGGTGCTTAAAAAACAGAGGGAAAAAAAAAGATAAAATATAGAAAAATAGAACAGCTTCAGTTTGTTCCAATTTAAAATATAATGAATCAACATTCTGCAAAAAAGAAACCCAGTCAGTCAATTTGTGTGCCATTTTTTAAAGTGGTTTTGAGCACTTACAGAAGGGACTGAGTTTGTAGAATTTGTTCATCTCTGTGGCTTTAGCTTTGGGGACAACATTGAGGCATTCGAGTGTTGGAGTATTTTTCTTTTTAATTTTTATTTTCAGCTCAACAGAAAGCAAAGCCCAAAGGGAGCTGAGTCTTTCCATTTCCACTCCTACCTGCAGCATCTGATTCTATGAGGCACAGACATCATCAAGATGATTTCTTGGTGACACAGGCCACTCTAATTTCATCCTGCATCAAAACCCAACAGCTGTGTGGACAGGAGAATATATCCCAGAATGGCTTGGGTTGGAAACACCTCAAAATCCAGCTTGTTCCAACCCCTGCCCTGAGCAGGGGCACCTTCCACTAGACCAGGTTAAGGTTTTCATGATTTTCCCTCTGTCAAACAATTATCTGGGCTTGTGCTTCTCCCTGTGCATCACTAGTGCTCACTCTAAATGGACAATTATTTTCATGAAACTTAAAGACTCTCTGGTGGCGGTACTTTTGTAACCCCACCCTTGATCAGTTTGTGGTTGTGTGTTGGTGGGAAGGTTTAAACTGACCAGAAAATACTCCTTACCTTAAGAAAATAACCTAAACCACGAGTTCTTGGATAAGGAAAAAGCCTTGATAGGTGATGGGGTGTCCCCAGCAGGAAATGCAGGTAATTTCTAACCAAAAAGGATTTTCTTCCTTCACTCTTTCCCCTTAGAAGCAGCCTCAACTCTGCCTCTGTGTGGCAGCACTGAAAAAGAGCATGGAAAAGAATGAAAGATGTGTTTCTTTTTTAAGGTCACTTGGTTATTAACTCTCTTTATCCTGCCATGAACCTTGAAAGATGGGGCAGATATTTCTCCTGTCAGCTTGGGAGGCCTGAGGGGAGCAGGCTGGAGGAAAATGCCTCAAAGATAAGGGTAAGGCTTTCTTGTTCTCAAAACTTTACAAAGAAACAAGACAATGCCAATGTCATATTAATAACTGAGATAAAAGTAATTCAGAGCAGTCATTACACTTAAAATAATTCCTGGAACCAAGCAGGGGAGGTATGAAGTCATAATTTTCAGGGTCTTTCAAGCTGTTCCCATAGGGAGCTCAGTGTGCCTTTGAAGAAATCTTTTTATTCACAATGGTGAATTTATTTACACACGGTTACACAACACATTTTTATGCACTTATTCCTCAACAGATCTCAAATTATCAGGGATAGTCACAGAATGCACAGAACTGTTTAGGTTGGAAGAGCCTTTCAGGGTCATTGAGTCCAGTTGTTACCCTGAGACAGCTCTCTGCTTTTCACCTGATTGCTGATGCAGAGTGGAATATTCATGGATTATCAATAACAAATTTCAAAAATTCAATTATGCCTAAACCAGCAGTCAGCAGAGTGCTGCAAGCAGTGATTTATTCCTGAGTGCTGAATCAATGAATAACAAGTCCTTAATAATGCCTGTTCTCCTACAGACAGGAACATACACGTCGTACTATAGAAAAATTGCCCAAATAAGATAAAATTAAAAAAAAACCCCAAATGCTGATTTATTCTTTTTCTTTTTTTTTCCTGCACTGCTCAACGGCTGCCAAGGCTCTGAACTGTGGGATATGAAATCATGGCAAAGGGGCAGGCAAAGAAATTATCCAGGCAGGAAAGGGAAGGTGACATTATCACAGGAGCTGGGGGAAAAAATTGTGTTAAAGAAAGTATGTGCACATGGAAAAAGAGGTTCCTTCCCTGGAAATGCTTCAGGTGGTGAGAGACAGGAGTGAGTTGGTGTGGGATTTGTTTGCTTGTTAACATTGACCTTCTCCCTGACTTCTGCTTGAGAATTAATCACTCAGGTGCTGTTACTTTCTGCTGTAAGTAAAGATCATAGAATCATGGAATGATTTGCAAACTCACCCAGTTCCACCCCATGCCATGGGCAGGGACACCTTCCACCATCCCAGGTAACTCCAAGCCCCACTGTCCAGCCTGGCCTTGAACACTTCCAGGGATCCAGGGGTAGCCACAGCTGCTCTGGGGAAGCTGTTGTTGCCCTCTATCCCAGACACACAGGTTGGATGGAGAAGGAACTGAGGAGAAACATTGGGGGTGATGGTTAATGAAAAACTCAACATGAGCCAGCAGCGTGTGCTCCCAGCCCAGAAACCAACGGCCCCTAAATTTGGGAAGGACACTGAGGGGCTGCAGAGTGTGCAGAGAATGGAGCTGGGGAAGGGGCTGGAGCCCCAGGAGCAGCTGAGGGAGCTGGGAAAGGGCTGGAGAATTCCTGAGGGAGATGGGAAAGGGCTGGAGAATTCCTGAGGGAGCTGGGAAGGGGCTGGAGAGTTCCTGAGGGAGCTGGGAAGGGGCTGGAGAGTTCCTGAGGGAGGTGGGAAGGGGCTGGAGAATTCCTGAGGGAGGTGGGAAGGGACTGGAGAACTCCTGAGGGAGCTGGGAAGGGGCTGGAGAGTTCCTGAGGGAGGTGGGAAGGGGCTGGAGAGTTCCTGAGGGAGCTGGGAAGGGGCTGGAGAATCCCTGAGGGAGCTGGGAAGGGGCTGGAGAATCCCTGAGGGAACTGGGAAGGGGCTGGAGAGTTCCTGAGGGAGCTGGGAAGGGGCTGGAGAATCCCTGAGGGAGTTGGGAAGGGGCTGGAGAGTTCCTGAGGGAGCTGGGAAGGGGCTGGAGAGTTCCTGAGGGAGCTGGGAAGGGGCTGGAGAGTTCCTGAGGGAGATGGGAAGGGGCTGGAGAATTCCTGAGGGAGTTAGGAAGGGGCTGGAGAGTTCCTGAGAGAGGTGGGAAGGGGCTGGAGAATTCCTGAGGGAGCTGGGAAGGGGCTGGAGAGTTCCTGAGGGGGCTGGGAAGGGGCTGAGCCTGGAGCAAAGGAGGCTCAGGGGGACCTTGTGGCTCTGCACAGCTCCTGCCAGGAGGGGACAGCCGGGGGGTCGGGCTCTGCTCCAGGGAACAGGGACAGGAGGAGAGGGAACAGCCTCAGGCCGGGCCAGAGAGGGTTTAAATTGGATATGAGGACGATTTTCTTCACAGGAAGGGTTGTCAAGCATTAGAAGGGGCTGATCAGGGAATGGTGGAGTGCCCATCCCTGGAGGTGCCCAAGGAATTCCTGGATGTGGCACTCAGAGCTGGGTGGGGATCAGGCACAGCTTGGACTCAATGACCTCGGAGATAATTTCCAACCTCAAGGATTCTGCAATAAGAAGTAATGAGTGCAAATTGAAAAAAGGGAAATTTAAGACATATGGAATGTGAAAAATGCATATTTTATGATTGGTTTTTCGCAAATGTTACAATGAATATTATATGTGTAATGTTTGAAAGTTATGCTGTATTAATTCTCTTAAGTAATGTGTTGTATTTATTTATAGGTTATAACACAATGTTCAAATAGAAACTGTGCTATGTAAGATACTTTTTAACTAGCTCAAGAAAGAGATGAGATAATCAAGAAACTCTTTGCACAGAGGTAACAATGCCAGGCCACATAAAGAGTTACAACCTCCTTATTGGAAAAAACATTCTTCCACCTTCTCTCTGTCTTTATGGAACCACCAGGATTAAGGGGAAGAAGCTGACAAAAATCAGAAAAACTCTTAATTTGCAAGGAATTTATGCATCATGTATGAGAGATATGAATACACAACAGGCTATTGCTTTTAAGGGTAATTTCTTTGTTCACAAGGTATGCTTTTCGTGACCTAGTGTCTGAGAGCATTTGGATGTCCATAATTCTTTGCTTTTTATTGTTTTGTAATCGCCCTAACTCTAAATTTTATTATTCTAACTGTATTAGTATTTTTATAACCATTTTATTATTATTAAACTTTAAAATTTTAAAAACCAAGTGATTTGCATTCTTCACAGAACCACCAGGATTAAGGGGAATAATAATAATAATAATAATAATAACAATAATAATAATAATAATAATACAATTAGAGTAATAAAGTTTAGAGTTAGGGCAATTACAAGACAATACAAAGCAAAGAATTACAGACATCATTCGAATGTTCTCGGACACTAGGTCACAAAAAACATACCTTGTGAACAAAGGAATAACCCTTAAAAGCAACAGCCTGTTGCATATTTGTACATCTCATACATAATGCATAAATACCTTGCAAATTAAGAACTTTTCTGTGTTTTATCAACTTTTTCCCCTTAATCCTGGTGGCTCCATAAAGACAGAGAGAAGGTGGAAGAATGTGTGTCTTTTCCAACAAGGAGGTTGCAACTTTTTATGGGCCCCCTTCGCTGACATCTCTGTGTGAAGAGTTTCTTGATTATCTCATCTTCCTGCTCGAGCTTGTAACAAATCCTATATCGCAGTGTTTCTATTTTAACATTATGTCGTAACCTAAAACTACATTTAACACACTACTTAAGAGAATTAATACAGCGTAACTTTCCAACATCACACATATAATATTCATTGCAACATTTGCGAAAAGCCAATCATAAAACATACATTTTTCACAACGTGGAAGAAACCCTTCGCTGTGAGGGCGCTGAGGCACAGTTACCCAACCATCCCTGTCCAAGCCCACACTGACCGAGCCTTGCAGCACCGCGGTAGGTGTGAGTGCCCATGGCAGGGGGTGGGACGAGAGGGAATTCCAGATCCTTTCCGACCATTCCAGGATCGCAATTCCCCGTTAATCCCCTTGATCCCGCAATTCCCCGATCCCGCAATTCCCCGATCCCGCCTCCCGCGCTGCCCTCAGGGCGGGCCCGGCCATGACGCGGCGGGAAGGCGGAAGGGAAGGGGGGGGGACAAGATGGCGGCGCTGCCATCGCTGAGGGCTCCGCTGAGGGCTCCGCTCTGCGCTCTGCTGTGCCTGACCCTGGCCGCCGCCACCCACGGCAAGCCGAGCCCCGTGAAGGTGCTGTCGGACGGGATGTGGCGGGAGCTGCTGCAGGACGAGTGGATGGTGGAGTTGTGAGTGGGGAGCGGCTCGCTGGCGGTGGGGGTGTGTGTGTGTTTGTGTGGGGCGCGTGTGGTGACGGCGCTGTGCTGCTCCCACAGCTACGCGCCCTGGTGTCCCGCCTGCGAGAACCTGCAGCCCGAGTGGGAGAAGTTCGCCGAGTGGGGAGAGGACCTGGGGGTGAACGTGGCCAAAGTGGATGTGACGGAGCAGCCGGGTGAGAAGGGCTGGAAATGGTTCCTGAACCCCCCTGGGATTTGGGGAGCTGAGGGGTTTGGGGGTGCTCATCTCCAGCGTGTGCTTGTGAGAAGCAGGCAGAATTAATAAGGGTAATGAAAGTGTTTTACTCATCTCTAACAAAGGCGCGTTGCTGTGTGACTAAACGGCCTAATCCTGCTTAATAGAACCCCAGAATGGTTAGGTTGGGAGGGACCTTGGAGATCATTCCATTCCAACCCCCACCACACCTTCCACTATCCCAGGTGCTCCCAACCCTGTCCAACCTGCCCTTGGACACTGCCAGGGATCCCAGCTTTCACACAGCTCCACTATCCCAGGTGCTCCCAGCCCTGTCCAACCTGCCCTTGGACACTGCCAGGGATCCCAGCTTTCACACAGCTCCACTATCCCAGGTGCTCCCAGCCCTGTCCAACCTGCCCTTGGACACTGCCAGGGATCCCAGCTTTCACACAGCAACCTCTCCTCACAGGGAGGAGACTGTCAGCTAGCAGATAAAATAAATACAATTGAATGAATGGAATAAATAAAACGGATAGACTATAATAGATCAAAACAATGAGAGCTTTTCTCCAGAACACGATTTCAAGGAGATTTTTTGGCAGTGCTTTTTAAGCAAAAAACAAAGTTTCAGCCTTGCCATTCCAGTCCATCCTTTGGGTGGTAGAAGGGAGTGCAAACAATCTTCTCTCCTTCTGCTGAGAGTCTCCTGAAACTTTCCTGTCCATGTGGGATTTGTAAACCTGGCCCTCCCCCATGCTGATCTCTTTCTCCAGAGTCATGTTACTTTAAGCTTGCCTCAACTTGGATTATTTTCTTCAGGGTTTCTGGAGGCTGCAGGTCATGTGTGCAAAGGAGAGCGTCTCCCTCTGAAGAACTACAGCCAAAACAGTCCAATAGAGCAGTTATCCCTGGATACCTCATTTTTCCCATTTTACTCTTTGTCCAGGGACCTTTTCTTTCGTGTGTGCTGCTTTGACATGCACAAGGTTGTGTTGGATTGCATGGAAAGATTGATGCTAGGCCTGCAGTTGTATTTTGGGGTGTTATAACATTTCTTAGCTTTTTTTTTCCCATAAAAATACTCAAAAAACCTTTTCTTACAGGGTTAAGTGGGCGGTTTATCATCACAGCTCTCCCTACCATCTATCAGTAAGTATGCAGGGCTGCAGGGTTTTTTTGGGGTGAGAGGGGGCATTTTTTTTCCTCTTTTTTTTGGGGGGGGGGCAAATAAATGAGATTTATTATGCTCTTTAAGAATAGGACCTACTTTTCACTGACACAGCCACTGTCTCACCTGCTGTAACCTTGTGCTGCCAAATGATTTCTTTTCCTTTCCCTTCAGGCCTTATTTATTCTGCCTTTTCATGGGTGTTTCTGTTTTGCAATCCTTTCTCTGTAGGTTGATCTTCAGTGCAGGTGTGTGGCAAGGGCATTAGGAAGATAATTATCTTTTTTTTTTTTTATGGAATCACAGCCTAAAGCTAGCCAAGGTGTTGGTGGAGTCAGTGTTCTGGAAATAACTTGAGCTTAGTCCAGGTGTTTGGAAAATATTTCTCAGAGGGAATATCAGCTTAAAAAAAAAAATTAACACTGAAAAAGTGAATGTGTAAAAAATAGACAAGGTGATGGGAGGGGGAAACAAATGCTGCACTTGGTGCTTGGATCATATAAAATAAAAGATTTTGGTGGTGCTGTTGTTGCTGTTTTACAGCTGCAAAGATGGAGAGTTCAGGAGATACCAGGGAGCAAGGACTAAAGCTGCCTTCATTAATTTCATCAGTGACCAGGAGTGGAAATCCATTGAACCAGTGTCCTCCTGGTTTGGTCCTTCCTCTTTCCTGTAAGTTTTGGGTTGGTTTTTGTAAGAATTTATTATCAGATGTCCTGAGGAGTGTCCTGCTCCCAGCTCTGTGTGGGCAGGAGTTGTGTGAATGTGGTGGGTGGGTGTCCTAATTCTTCCTCAGCTCTGGGAGGGTTGTCCCCATAGCAGAGGTGACCTGAGCATTGTCACCATAGCAGAGAAGTCCCCAGCAAGGTTTACTTTAAGCCTTGAAGAGGTTTCTTGTTTCCTAAACTTTTGTAGGGACCTTGCTAACTCTTGAAGTTTGGTCTCTGTGGCACCAAGATGGTTTTGCCCAGCTAAATCCTAGGAAATTTCTTCCTCTGGAGGAAATCACAGAGGGATTCTCCATCAGGAACTGACAGGGAAAAGGGAATGGATTCAGACTGTCAGAAGGAAATTTAAGTTTGATATATGGAAGGAATTCCTGGTTGTGAGGGTGGTTCTCTTACAAAGTATTATCCCACACCAAGGAATGTGTGAAACTGGCTATTAACTCAGCATGAGCAAGTTCTCTATTTTTTTCTGTATTTAGACACCAAACTTAAGTGTCTGAGAATCTCTCAGCTCTTATAACCTGATTTTCTTTTAGTAGCTTTTTTTTTGTTTTGTTTTAATAAAACCACCTGATGCTTCTTTCTTAATATCTTCACTGGAGTTCCAGCTGGCTTCTCACAGAGCATTGGTCCAGAGAGGACAGAAAAGGGACTTGAAATTCACATGTTATCAGACCCAAGTTAGAGACATTTGGGAATTTATAGCTGTCCATGTATGAGCTGAGGTTGTTTCACACAGGTTTGAGGCTGATTTTAAGCTGTTCTCAGTTCCTCTTCTCTGCTTTGTTTCAGGATGAGCAGCATGTCAGCCTTGTTCAAGTTGTCCATGTGGATCAGGGTATTTGCCTACATTTCCACTTCATTTTATCTCAATATGAAATCCAGCTCTTCCTGAAATTATTCTCTTTTATTCCAGCATGGCCATGGCTATTTAACAGAAAATCTTGGAATACCAGTCTGGGGCTCCTATGCTGTTTTTGGATTGGCAACTCTTTTCTTAGGAATGGTCCTGGGACTTGTAAGTGCAGTCCTTGGGGCTGACTGTGACTTTGTTACACTCCTGCTGCCTCTGCCTCTGGTTTGGGGTGGGTTTTGGGGTACCCTGAGCTGGAACACAGGATGGGAACCAGGAGGGAGCCCCCATAATCCAAGGGGAAATGGCTGGGATCCACCTGGGGGTAAATGGTTAGACTTGATCTTAAAATTTTCCAGCCTAAACCATTCCAATGTGCAGAGTGTTTGGGAGTTTCACCTTGGGTTTCTTTGGTTGCAGATGATGGTGTTCCTGGCAGACTGCATCTGTCCCTCCAAGAGGCACAGACCACCACAGCTCCAGCCTCAGTCAAGTAAGCCCACAGCAAACTTCTAATTCAGTGAAGCTGTTTGGTAAATCTCATTTATAGAAAATATTCAAGAAATCGTGGTGTCTGCAGGATGTGACATGGAGTGTAGAGCTTTGCATTTGGGGTTGATGCCTCGTCCTTAGGGTTTATAGTGGGTTGGGATTTTTTATATAGTAAAGCTGGAGTATTTTTAAAACTGGTTAAAATTTTTGAGAGCATTTTCATACCTGCGAGACATGAAATTCCTCATGGGCATGGAGAGAAACTTGAGTGGAGCTCTCAGTGTTGCTGTGCTTGCCCGTGTTATTAAAAAAAGTGGATTTTACTTGGGAATGGTATTTATTTGTGTGTTTTTCCTTTCTCCTCGAGGGAAACAAGGTCCAGAGCCAGCTCATCTGCTGAAAAACACGTATGAAGAGCAAGAAGCAGATGAGGGAGATATCTCAGATGATGAAGCAGAGGGGAGCAGGAGAGACTCATCCCCAGGTGGTATCCGGCAGCGCCCCGTGCCCAGTGGTGCTTCACAGGAGAAATCTTAGCTGCATTTGCACCAGGATTAGTGTTTGAGGCAGCCACTCACAGGGAGATCAATGTCAAATCCTCCAGCTTGAAGAGAAGAATGAATCCTGGCTTGGTAATGTTTTATGAATTCGGAGGAAATAATAATAATAATAAAATAAAAAAGCATCAGGTATTCCAAAGGAAAACTTGCTGTTGCAAATAGCTGGAACTTCTCTTGTCTGTGTTCAGAGAAGTGCCAAGGAATAATTGCTGTGGCTTCTGGAATGGTTTGTTCCCTAGGGATTATTTGGAAGAGAATGTAAACCAGAGTCATTCTTCCATTAGGGAGCATTGGCAAGGAAAATGCACTCACCTGGTTGTTGGTTAAACCTCCCAAAAGGGTTCCCTGTTCTTATACTGTTTCTCAGTATAAATCTCTCTAGATGTGCCCTGAAGAAATGCTGAGGGGAAAAGTTCCTTTAGTTATGGAACTAAAATTCCTTTAGTTTAGGCTTTTTACATGACAAAAACTGCTTTTTGCTATGACAATGAGAGCTGCAAACCCCTCCCAACCTTTTTTCTTACCAAGAGCTGATGGAACTTAGCACAAGCACTCTGCAGTGGGATCCTCTGGCTGACAGAAACCTGCTGCTTGCATCCATTTCTTCCAGAAAAAGCTGTAGAAAACTCTCTGAGCTTCTTGGCAAAGTGGTTTTTCTCTAGGAACAAGTGACAAGCAGCACCTTGAAGTCTTGTCTGTCTCTGTGACTCCACGTGGCAATAGTTTACATGCAGGGTTCTCTGTGCAAATCCTCTCCATGCCTCCTCCTGGATGCCAGCAGGACTCTGCTTGTTTTTAATCCATCATTTCTTATTCAAATCGTGCTGCAAATCCATGCAGGCTGTACCTGGCCTGAACTTAAAATCACTCCTTTCTAATTCTTCTACAGAACCTTTTTTTTTTTTTTTTCCTGTTTTCACAAAACCATTTTGGACCATTAAACCTGATTTTTTTCTTTAAAAAGAAAAAAAAAAGTAGTTTACTCTTGTCTATATGGTGTTTGTTTTCACTCTGTATAGAAATAAAAAGAATGCACATTCCCATTGGACCGGTGTGGTAAAGAGTTTTCCATATTCTTTTGATTAAATTCCAAAGTTTTTGCAAGGGAAGGATGAGCCTAATATGAGCACACTTAGATTTTTTTGACAAGCCTGTTTCTGGGTTTTTTTTTTTTGTTTGCTTGTTTAGCTTTATGGGTTTTTAGCTTTTATTTTTAGTTATTTAGGTTTTTTTAGTGTTTAGGTTTTATTTGTAGTTATTTAGTGGTTTTTTTTAATTGTTCTTTTCCCCCCCCCTTTTTTTTTTCTTTTCTCTGCATTGGTGCTCTGGCATGACTTGACTTCAGTGCTGTGTTAGAAAGATAAACTGATGTCTGAAAGGGTGTTTTTGGCTGAAATCTGAATGTCCCTCTCCTTTTTTAAAGATAAAACCTCTCCTGGTATTGGAATGAAGACCACTGTGTGTCAGAATTGCCCTTAAGGTGTTGGTTTTGTGGAATTGCCTTAAATTCTCTAAAAGTTCCCATCTCTTAGCCTTTGGTACTCATAAATAAAGCAATAAATAAATAAATACTGAGGAGAAGTTGTAGCACTGGCTTTGATAAGTGGTGGTTTTGGAGAGGGCTTGAGAAGACAGAGATGTTGTAGCTGGTAGGAAAAAGTATTGAATTGTTTCAAGAGGTGAACTCTGCTTACTCCATTTGGGATTTATTTAAATGTAGCTTTTTTAAGTGCAGAGGGTTCTAATTTTTCAGTTCCAACCAAACTTGGTGCAACAGAGAGAGGACACCCTGCTGACTTGTTGCTAACTTTTTATTTTAAAAGAACACCCAACCTTTCCTTTGTTCTGCTGGACTTGTGGGCTCCTGCTTGAACAAGAACTTCCAGCATGAATTTACTTTTTTTTCTCTGCCTGCTGCTCACTTCTCCCTGCCTTAGGCACAGCACCAAATCCCAAACCTGCCTCGTAGGGGAGACTGTTCCCAGCTAGAATCCAGCAACTCCTGCTTGGATTATCCACAGGCAGCCTCTGCTGAGCTCTGCTAATCTCACCCTTCATATTTTGCATAATATTATGGTTTTGTCCTGTGAATATTTAAGTTCCTTGATTGATTTTCTTTGTTTTAAAAATGTCAATTCCAAAGATGTTTACTGAGACTGAGTGGTGTAACCTGAGTGTGAGAGCCTGTCCTTTGTGTGTTTTGATGTTGCTTGAATATGAATTTTGTAAAAACCAGACTGCCCTTTGCATATCATCTGGACCAGGCCTGTTTCATTCCAGAAAGAATTAATGACAATAATGTAACAATAATTTCTCAGAGAGTCTTCAAGTAAAAAATAATCACCAGCTTTGGATTCCTGTGTTTGTGTCTTTCTTTTTTTTTTGCTCAGGTTCTTGCTGCTTAGTGATGAAACAGCTGCTTCCATGGATAAAAATTGTAACCCTGAAACTAAAAAGTGATTTTTTTGAAAAGTCAGGTGTGAGTTATAATTCAAAGTAAAGCTGCACTGAGTGATTTTTAGTCAAGATTGGCTTGGGTACCTCATCCTGGTAGATGGTTCCAATGATTTGGGAAGGAACTTTCACTCATGCCAGGCTTAGCCAGAAATTGTAATAAAATGTGGTTTTATGTAGCAAAAAACGTAGGCTGGAATTGACAAACAATGTTTAAAATTAATTTTTTTGGTGTCTCTTTTCTGTGGTTGCTTAAAACGTGTGTGAGTGGTGTGGGAGCTGCAGATGGGCCCTCCCACACTGCATCCAACCCCAGCAGCTGCAGGGATCAACACTCTGGGATTAATCCTGGAGTGGGAAGCTTAATTCCAGCTGGTGGCAGCTCTGAAATGAAAGAGGCTTCTTGGGGAAGAGACAAATCCAGACAAGGAATGCTCAAAGCATTCTGAGTAACAGCCAGCCCAGTGCCTGTTCCCTCCCTTCCCTCCATCCCTGCCCGTGGGAATGGCTGCTGAGGAGCTGCTAGCTCTGGATATGTGGAATTTTCTGGAAAAGTGCAATAATGCTCTTAGCTCCTCCCCAACAGGAGTGAGGAATCCCACGGGCACTCAGAAATCTCACTCCCCTCCTGTTACATCCAACAGGGAATAATAGGAAAAAAAAAAAAAAAAAAAAGTTAGGGAAAACCAAGGTGGGGAAAAAAGCAAGGGGAAAAGGACAAACTGAAATATTTTTAGGTATTAAAATGGTTGGTAATTGCCTGATAGGAAGGAAACGTTCTGGGAATTTTTGGCAGTTGGTGTTTGCCTGATTGCCCAAGGCTGGGTTGGAAACCTGTGATTTCAGTTGTGGTAATGCTTGATGGGGCAGGAGACATTTCAGTGTTTAGCACTGGTTTAGAAACACCAAATGCAATCTCAATTTTAAGGGTTCTTTGCTTTAAGAAGGGGGAATTGTCTCTCCTGCAGGTGTCTTGTTCTTGGTTTCATCTGAACAACATCACCTTTGGCCTTTCCCTGAGTTTATTCCATGGTGATTCCCCACTCTTGGACCAGCTTCTCTTTACCCTCCAAACTCCCTACTTTGATTAATCCAGTGACTTTCTAGATGAATTCCTGCCTGAACCTGCCTTTTCCCCTCATTTTTCCCTGCTTGAAACTTCCCAGCCACAAATTTCACTTCCATGTAGTGTTGCTTTCAGAAATTCCCTTTCACTGCAAGGCAGATCCAAAAGGACAATTTGTAGGTCCTTGGAATTCTGCCTGCCCCAGGTGGGTTCCCAAAAACCAGGAGGAATCCTGGGCAGGAGGGGTTGAGGTGGATGTGGCTGATGTGTGAGTGATGTCCTTGAAGTGAGGGCAGGTTCTGGAATCCCTGTGAACACCAGAGGGGGAAAAGCACCAGTGAAATCTGTGAGTGTCTAAAAGGTTTTTTTCTAAATTAAATTACGACTCTATCAATGAGTTTTGAAGTGCAAAATGAGAAAACATCAATGCTAGGTCACTATTAAAGATATTTTTCTCAGCTGTGCTTTTCCTTCCAGAGTCTTTGTTTTGCTGAGCCTGGACCTCAATGCCCTTTCCCCCTCCTTTTATGTGACTGCTGATTTCTTGGGAAGATTCTCCCTGAATTTTCCTTTAAATTCCTTGGCATGTGGATGCATCAAGAACCAAGAAAAAGGTGTGTTCAGAGTAAAGATTTCTGGGATAAACCATTATCCAAGGATAAGGAGCCATTTCTCCCTCTTCCTCCTTTTCTCATCCCCTTGTCAAATATTTGGGAAGTATTTGAATTGTGGTCTTTTACACATCCCTTTTTCTTTTCCCTTTCCCTTTTCCTCTTTTCTTTGCCTCCTTTCCTTTCCTTTCCTTTCCTTTCCTTTCCTTTCCTTTCCTTTCCTTTCCTTTCCTTTCCTTTCCTTTCCTTTCCTTTCCTTTCCTTTCCTTTCCTTTCCTTTCCTTTCCTTTCCCCTTTCCCCTTTCCCCTTTCCCCTTTCCCCTTTCCCCTTTCCCCTTTCCCCTTTCCCCTTTCCCCTTTCCCCTTTCCCCTTTCCCCTTTCCCCTTTCCCCTTTCCCCTTTCCCCTTTCCCCTTTCCCCTTTCCCCTTTCCCCTTTCCCCTTTCCCCTTTCCCCTTTCCCCTTTCCCCTTTCCCCTTTCCTGTAGAGAGTAGTGGAGTATGTCTCATGGGTGAGAAATTTAGGTTTTAGGATTTTTAGTATGCTATAGATGGGTTCAAGATGGAGGATTCAGGGTGTTGTCTTGAGTTCCTTTCTTCTTCTTCCTCTTTCTTCTTGGGTTTAGGTGGTGTCTTGCAATTGGGTAGAAAAATCTGCATTGTGGGTCTTTAGGGGTCAGTTAGTGGGTTAGAAATGAAAATAATTTAGGTGTCACTTCTTAATTCGGTAGCTTAGTTTTTGATTAGACTTAAAAAGGCCTTGTAAAAAGAGGTTATTGGCCAGGACTAAAACTCCAGCCACCATGGGGTGGTGCAGTGAGACCTCACTGGGAGGGAGAGGCGGCCAGCACAGCCCCTCAGCACAAACACGATGAAGAAACCTTTAAAAATATATATTTTTTTGCAAGATTTCCTGATTGAAATCCCTCCTGTGGCCGCTGCAATTTGGTCTCCTGCACTCCCAGGAAAGGGAGAAGCCGGGTGGAGCCTGGTGAAATTCGGGCTGGATCTGCCTGCAGGTGAGGCTCCGGGGCATCACTCTTTTGTTTAGCATATTTATGCTTTTGTTTAGCATAATTAGGAGTTTAGGATAATTAGGACTAATATTAATGCTCCTCACGCTGCTCCGAACAGATGTGCTCCAGCCTGGGTGTGCTTAAATAGATTATTATTTCTTTAAAGTATTTTTAAAAGAGTTTTGGATCATATTTCCTAAAGGGCTGCTCCAACTTGACTCCAGAGGGTTGTGGAAGAGTTGAGGCCAGAAGAAGAGGAAAAGAAAGGAACCATCCGACCACGTGGTGGCAACGTGGAGATGCTACAGAAGGATTGCTTGGATTGCTGTGCTTCCCTGAAGGAATTTTCACTTCTACAGAAACACCTGAAGTTAATTCATGACTTAAAAGAGGGTGGTAAAAGCAGGAAATGTAAATATTTTCAGCTGTGCCCACAGTGGAGTGGACCAAACCAATGGAAAAAGCAGATTTTATGGATTGATGAGACTTTTCTGAATGAAAGGATGTCAGGAAATGAATAGTTAAGGCTGAGCCAGAGGAAGTGCAGAGGGAAAGCACCTGGCAGCAGGATGGGGTTTGGCTAAGGTGACTGAAATCTCCAACTCCTGCACTGGGCTTTCCACAGATGGATTTATTTTGTGATGATTGAGATCATCACTTGGATTTCCAGGCCTGGGAGTGAACAATGAGACATTGGGAGGCTGAGGAGAGATTTTTTTGGCTCTCCACAATGCCCTGAGAGGAGGGGGCAGCCAGGTGGGATTCAGGATCTGCTCCCAGGAAACAAGGAAAGAACAATGCTAAGGCCGGGGTCAGCCCTGGGTGTGCAACAAAGAGGTCAGCCTCAGCAGAGGTTTTCCTCTATGCCCACAGCAGAGACTTTCCTCTATGCCCACACCCAGGGCCGACCCCAGGCTCGGCTCTGTTCTTTCCTTGTGGCTGGCTAGATAAAATTTGACTGCAAAATAAATATTTTATTTTTTTGTATTAATTTGGCTAGACAAATTTTCATTTATAACAAACTTGGTGACCCCGACGTGATCTGGTTTGGGGGTATCCAGGGAGTTCCCTATCCTCGATCCGGGTGGTGTCCCGCTGATTTCAGCTGCTGGACAGGACTGAGGAACTCGGAACCAACCAGATCCCAAAAACAGCCAAAAAGCCACGTTAAGGAAAGGGTATATACGGGCCAAGAGCTCTCAAAATTCAGAGCTAAATCTCCGAAGCTGCAGCAGCAATTTTTCACTCGTAAAATCGACATGCACAAAGAAGCCACACAAGAAAAGTAAGTATTGCAAAATAGATATTTTATTTTTTCATATTAATTTGTCTAGACAAATTTTCATTTATAACATCAGGGATTTTTCCCCTCCGTTTCCTGTGGCGCCGGGAGCCAAATCCGCCAGGTGCCCACGCCTGGTGTGCATGTCCTGGCGGGATCCCCAGAGCTGAGCAAGGCTGGGTTCTGCTGCTGGATGTCCTGGGGGGCCACAACAACCTGGTGCCACCTGGATTGTGCCAGGTGTGATCCGTGGGGATGTGCCCACCCTGCACCTGGAAGTGCTGGAAATGCCTGCGTGGGTCAGGTGCCGAATGAAAGGAATGTGGGAGCACACGGAATAATCCTACCCTGGAAGGAGGAGAGGGGAAAGCAGCCTTGGTGCTTAAATTTGGTGTTCAGCATGGAGAAAGGAAGGAACCAGACTTTAAAACCCTTCCAGTGTCTAAAGGGGCCCCAAGAGAGCTGGAGAGGGACTTGGGACAAGGCATGGAGGGACAGGACAAGGGAGAATGGCTTTAAGCTGGAAAAGGGATGGATGTGGAATATTGGGAAGGAATTCTTGGCTGTGAGGGTGGTGAGGCCACCTTTAATTTCTGTGGCACAGGGTGCCCAGAGAAGCTGTGGCTGCACCTGGATCCCTGGCAGTGCCCAAGGCCAGGCTGGATGGGGTTTGGAGCAGCCTGGGACAGTGGAAGGTGTCCCTGCTCATGGCAGGGGTGGGGCTGGATGTTCTTTAAGGTCCCTTCCAATCCCAAAAGTTCTGTGACTCTGTGAAATGCCTCATTGCTGAGTTTTGAGATAAGACTTTCTCCATAGTCTTTGGCATAAGTTGCCTGTATTGGTGCTCTGGTGGCTCCAGTAACTGGGAATAGGCAGAGCAATGTCACAAACCAGGTCAGTGCTGCTTCCCACAGCAAACAGGAGCAC